CATGGTATGAATTATTTTATAAAATTAATTTTGTAAATAATATTTTCCAGTATAATGTTTCACTTCCTATTACAGTTTAATATTACAAAAAAATACACATATGGGGATTGTTTTAGTAGATATCCCATATTAAATTGTCATTTACAATTCAATTTTGTCAATTTCATTCTTCTTTTATTAATGGTATATCTGCGCATTTCACACAATTCAGCCAAAGTCAAGTGAATAAATTAATTTCTACATGTAAAATGAAAAAGTAATGAATGAAAGATTAATTAAAACATTGTCTGTATCATTGTGGTTTGTATTGACAAAAAGTGAATTGGTGTTGCAATGAAAATCATGAAAATCAAACATCGATTGGAAAATAATCGATTAATTCATTCATTATCATATTGAATAAAAAAAACTTTAATATACTTTTAGTTAATTTTGGTGCAATTTTGCATTTTACCTAAGTTTTACGGACTACTACGGTTGTTGATTCAACAACGCCCAAATAAATAAATATATATATTATTATTATTATGTAATTTCCAATGCCCGTGATTGGAAATGTTATATGAAAACCTAATGAAGTCCCATAAAGTCACAATATGAACTATGAAGTTCAACTAAGTCCATGTAGTTTGATGAAGTCTGATGATATTCAATGAAGTTTAATGAATTCTGTTTAAATGGATTGAAGTTACTAAAGTCATATGCAATCATCATTTAACTTTAACATTTAATTTTTAGTACAAACAAATGTATAAATTTAATGATTATTTTTGTTGTACATTCTTTTGAAACGGAGTTGTTTAAAGTAAAGTATACACCTCTGGATTAATGCTCGTCTTAGTCTTGGACTGATTGCATACCTCACTTCTTACAGTTTGTTAGTGACTGAAAATGAGTCAAAACTTTTCTGTTCACGACCTACCCATGTAGGTACCGTTTTATTTTACGGAATCATATTATTCACTTTCATGCTACTTTATCTCACATAATAACATTTATTTTGCGAATTAAAACTCGGTATAAACAATAAAATAAACCAACACCATTTGAATTTTGAAACTTAACTCTTTAAGCTTGACGTTATCTTTAGTTGACGCCAGGATTTATAGTATTTCATCTGACTTTTTTTGTTAATTAAAAGACTTAATTATATCGGATTTATGCTTTAAATATTAAGCATGTTTAAAGTTGAGTGCTTAATAATAGAATTGGGTATATGACGCTTTTCTGAAAACTAATTAATTAAAATAGTTGTTTGATACATTATAAACACACTGTCAATATATTACATGAGAATCTGTTCTATTTTCGATGAATATAATTTTAAAATCTACAGATTATAAGAAATAAACTTTTATTAGATTATTATCTAACATGATGATAATAATACGCAACTTATTTTTATAGTGTCAAATACCCATAATGATAAAAATATTAATTATAAATTCGCGTTTCGGGTATTTTCCCTTGTAGCTTAACACTTAGGTATGCACTTTCTTAATGTAGCTAATATTCGGTTGTTTCGTCCTTATTTTAAAACGATCGAATACAAATGTAATACATTCATTATATAGTGATAAAAAAATGAATAATCATTAATCGTCTCCCGTTTAACTAATAATTTCATTTATTTTATTCTGGTAACACTAATGACAGCTGTTTGGTTCGGCTTGGTTCGGCTACGATTACGTTTCAATTTAGTAAACGTTCGTTTGATAATTGACGTTAGCAGAATGCAAATTTACAGCAAAAATCGAAACGTAACCGTTACAGAAACGCTATTGACGATCGATCGTTGTAAATTAGTAGAATTGGCCCCCAGGTACCTATAGGATGCATTGTTGTTGAAATAACACAATTCATGGAAGGAAGATAACTTTTTAATTTAATATTGTTATTAAGAGAAGTACATTCCGATTCTGTTTATTCAGTTTTTTTGCTTTAATAACAAAAAATTCATAGAATAAAGATTATTTGAGATATATAATATTATCATAATACCAAGATTACAATTATATTTATTCAGTTTATTAGTTAAAAATATTTTCAACAATATTTACGTCGAATAAAAAAGTTCCGAGAATAATAACTACCTAACTATGAGTTCCAGGAAAACATTCGCTAATAATGTTATTGTGATGGTTAGGTAACTTTATATAATAGCAATAATGATAAATAGCATTAAGTGCGTGTATATACGATAATATTACGTAAGGAGCCAATAATTTAGCTTATATTAATTAAATGTTAATTGCGTTTATTCACTGATTAAATGAATATCTTAAATGCGTGATATGCAATTTTTTCATAAACCTATCTCAGTACAACTCCATTGCATTTCAATAAGCAGACAGAAATGCACCATCAACACATATAAACAAGTAACAGATTCTTGAGTATAAGAAATCATCAGTTTAATTTTGTTATCAAATAACCTGTTACCATGCCTGAGTCTGGTCGCACACATTCATCACTAGAGCAATATCTTACTCACGCATCAAAAGTCCAATATATAATAATATTGGACTTAAGGTAGATAATAAACTTCCACCATCCCTGGGGACCCCGAGGTGGGACTTGAACCCACGACTATTAGCAATTCGGGCGACTGTGCTAACCACAGATAATTGTTACCTAATAATGAACTCACATTGAATCAGTCCTAGTCGAGCTTGAATATTTATTTGCATATGTTACAATAGTTATATAAGATAGCTCATATTTGGAGCTATATAGGTAGTTGACACCCTCGGGGCATACAATAGTGATGCTCAGGCACACCATTTTTTTGTCGTAGTTGTTCACCATGCTTATGTATTGTTCCTGCCGCCTGACAGGTGGCAGAGAGTGTGTGGAACTCTTTATCCGTACAGACCCGCCCGAAGGTTAGTCAAAACGCGGATGACATACTCACTAAACGCCCTCTGTACACTCTCACTTTTGGAGGAATAGCCTGGGATCCAGCAGGGAGTGCTTCATACCAAGCCCCTGACTCATTTCATTTTCGTTTTTTCTCTTTTCCGGGTAGCCTCTTACTTGTAAAATTCATGTTGGTAACCATGATTACACAAATCAATACTAAGTATTTTTAAGCTTGTCTTGTCTAAACTAATCTTCGACTATGTAATATACTAGTATTGTAGAGGATAGATTTGATAATTTGTAGTATGTATTACACCGCCGATTTCAAGTTGTTGCCTTGTCTGAGGTCCCCGGGTTCGGGTGCCGGTTAATTTAGAAAATGAACTACATGTATTGTCACGGATCTGATGTTGTGGTACCTTCGTTGTTTCAGATTTCAAGTGCTTTAGTTCAGAAATCATCGATATGTGGACAATGGTATTTTCATATTTTCTGTTTTTAGTCAAACACAGCGCTATTACGTAACAGATATTCAATAAAATAAACCTTTTATTACTTTTTGAAATAGGTTCTATTTAATTTAATTTCTATGACGTAACAGCGCTGCGTTTGATGACGAGTACGAAGCTGTTTTTATAACAGAATAGCACTGTATATTTTGAAAAATCTTTAATATCCTTTTTTCATACTAATGGCCGATATTAATTTACCATAAAACATTTTTATATAATGTGTTGGCAAGCCGATACCATATGACTGTCAAAAAGTTATTAGGTCTCGTGTTGAGTCAAGCTTCTAACTCTAAAAGCTCTACTTCACGAACTCTACACCACTCTATTCAAATATCGGTATTACTCGGTCGTTTTGCTATCGATAAATGGACAAATGAAACAATTATTTAACAGAATAGCTACTGATGTACTTTAACAATATTATTTTTGATAAACTCTTACTATATTACATGTAAACGACTGGTAATAGTATTTAGCCGTTTTTAGAGAATTTTTAGCAAATAAAAATACGTCTTTTTCTTGTGACATATATTGCATAAACCAAAGGAATCGATATAATGAACAAAAAACATTATAAAGACCATAAATAAAAGGTCCCATTCAGGGACATTACATGTTGTACCATATTATGTGTGGAACATCGTCTTAATTAAAAACATAAAGAACTCTTTATATATTACTTTGTGAATATAATAATCTTAATTTTAACTGTTACATTATCAAGAGGTCAAGAGAACGTGACATCATTTACACTTCAAATTTTTTATTCAGGAACCACACGAATTCATTCTGTGATATTTTAAAAAAGTAATGATATTCATAATAACTTGATTTATTGAATTGATAAGGCTTGTTTAAGTACTTTTTAATGACAAATACGTCTTTTCCTAAACTAAGAAACACGAAAACGATAAAGAAGGGAATTACACACAACATGATAACCTGTCATAATGCAATGTCAAAGCACTCGTGATAACCCATGTTAATGGCAATTATGAAAGTAGCATGAATATTAATCGTGCGTTTAAAAATTAGATTCTCGATCATAAATTAGAACTTTACAAAATTTACGTTGATGACATTTGCAGCTTCTATTATGAAATTTAATACATTTCTAGTTAAGAAAAACTACTTTGTTCGAATTTACGATTTTAGAACCCACATTTACTATAAAGAACCGATTCAGTTCCAAGTTTTTTCAAAGATTTATATATTCTTTATCACCAGACGCTTAATTTTCAGTAAATGAAATATTCACCCAAATATATTATACAATATTTACTTAAGTTACCAATTTACTTTTGGAATAAGTCTCTTTTGTATTCAATAAAATGTATTCAAAAACATAAAAATATATTGTCAAAATTGAAAACATCTAACATTTTGTGACCATTGACCAGAAGAAAACTTTTAAAGATAACTCTAGATCTAAACAGTTTTTTAAAACGATTTTGTTACTATATTTTCATTATCTACTGATTTCATAATAGCACCCTTCACTATTCTACGCCAAGCATGTGTTGTTGTGTCTCTTTACTCATACATTATTTACTATATAAAGTGGACCTAATTATTGCGGATAGCATTCTGGAATTATATTTCACGTGAAAAAATATTTTTAGAAAAATGTTGTTCAAATTGTTAGCTGCTTTAACGTTACTGGGTACGTAGTAGTTATTAGTATTCTTTAGCTTGAGAATTTGATAGATCTAAACTTTTACTTGGCTGTTTTCCTGCTTAAAATTATAGACTATAATAACTCTAGCGTACTATATAAATACGCTAGATTTCCGTAATTGTAAGAATTTTTAAAATCGGTTCAGTAGTTTCGGAGCCTATTCAATATAAAAAAAGGAACAATCAAATCTTTCGTCGTTATAATATTAGTAAAGATTTACTTTAGTCTTGTGTTTCGGTATGTACTTAGAGGTAGTGCCTTCTAAGGTAAGAATACAACTACCTCCGTGAGTGAATGTCCATATTTTGTATACATAACTTTTAATTTTAAGTATTTCACCTTCATCGTCTTCAAATAACATGAGTCTATCATTCGAGGAGCTAGATGTCGTAGTAGTTAACGCCTTAGGTCTGCGATGCGGAAGTTAAGCAACTTTCACAACGGCCGGTCATAGGATGGGTGGCCAAAAATTAATTATATCGAGCTCCTCCTTGCTTCGAAAGGCAGACGAACCTAGTTGCATACGTGCAGACTTTTATATAGTCGCATCTAGCTATCGCATATTTGCTCAACACATGGTTAGACTCCCGCACTCACTCATTATTCGCGTGGAGCAGGTAGGAATGAGCTTAATCAGAGTATAAAAAGTAAGTGCTCTTCATACATACGCTCTGAAAATGGATTGTATGTGAGCGCGCCCGTGCTTATGCGTCGTCGCATGCACAAACTAACAATATTATGGAAGTTATAGAAGTTCAAGGCACGAGTGGCAACTCGCCAGTCGTGGCTAGTACGCCGTGCTAGCGTATATTTTGCGTCGGTGTATTGCCGCTAATTATAAATTTTTTGGACGTAAACAAGATGGCAATGAAAACTAAACCAAAATATTGTATATGCATTTATAAATAGAGTATATGGTATTTCACATTTTTATAAATCAAGTATGTGGTATTTTGTTCTTTAGGTATTCGAGTAATTTATTAATAAATATAAATCATAAGTAATTACAATTTTGTGTAGATATTTACCCACCGAAAATGTTTATGAATTATTTCTACTCAAGATTTCGTTTGCCAGATATCAATTTGTAGTTTAATTTATTTAATCTCTATGCCCGAGTACCGCCAAATTGAAATTGATATTGAATTGTATATTTGCTTATTAGACAATGTAATTAAAAAAAATTGATAGAAACTGTTTGTACAATTTGATTATTAAAAATTAATATTGGCTTTATTTTATTTTGTTCGTTGCCTGATTATTTGATGACATGACATAGGTATGAAAAAAAATTTAGTCAGCTCCTGGTCTATATATTAAAAAAAAAAACATTAAAAAGTTGTATTATAGTTTCCGGATGCTTACCATACCGGGAGAAACTATATTTTAGAGATTGCATTTCTGACGATTGAATAACCTATAAGCGACAGCCCTACATGTTTAGGCTATTATCTCTCGGTCGGGTCTCGAGTGCACCTACTTATATATTTGTACTGTGGCTTTATATAACCTCCGCTTTATACATAAGCGATATGAATTAACGTTAATTTAATGCGCAGTTAATATAATTATGCTAGAAGCAAGTTTATCAATAATAAAACAACACAGGAATTCAATAAGATAAAATTAAGCCAATTTTAAACTTATTAAACATTATTAGCTCGACTACGATTAGCTGGTTAGAGCACTCATTCTGCGTCACGGTTGTAAAGTAACGTTCGCAAAGGCCGGTCATAAGATGTGGTGGTGTGGGTAACTACAATTTGTTATCTCGAGCTCCTCCGTGCTTCGGAAAGCACGGTAAACCGTTGGTATCGGCTGCATCTGCAGCCATTAATACCCACACTCCCTTTTTTTTCGGTTCCATCTATAGGGAAGGTTTGAGCCCCAGCAATGGGTTTATTGGCTGGTGACGATGATGATGATATTACTAGATAAATCACAGGTCAACAAATACTTCATCCCAAAATCTAACCGGCGAGGTTTACTTTTATTGTTAAGATTGTGCAGTACATAATGCACAATCTTTACAATAAAAGTAATTCACAAAACGTTATACAATTGGTATTCATATTACTGTTCATTACTAGGTCTGGTGGCAGGACGCGCTTACCACGTCTCCCGACGGGAAGAAATTCGAATGCATCTTGAGGCGGAATGCGTAAAAAATAGTGGAGACCCAAATGTGTTTCCAAAACTAGAGGTAGATTAATAAAACTAAATACCTACATAAGCCGAAGATATATCGGCATAAAATAGTACAATCAATTAAAATATATTTGATCAATTTTTAAGCATTTTATTTTAAGATAAAATGTCAGCTCAGTTAGTACAGTAGTCGATTATTTTACATTGAAAAATATTAAAATTATTAATTATTTTATTATATTTTTTTAATTTTACATTCACAATGCTATACTGAAAAATATTCTCAATGGAAAATGCTTAAAAAATTCACGTGGTCTCTAGCACCCTGAGATGGGATTCGAACCCATGACCTTTCGCAAACCGGGCGATTGCTCTTACTACTTAGCTCTTAGACTTAGCTACCCAGCACACGTACCATGACGAACTCGAGAGCGTTTAGTCTACACTCAAATGTCACTTTTCTCGGGTGCGCCCATACTATATCTCACTCTTGACCCGAGAAACTGACAAATTAGTGTAGACAAAACGTTTCTCGAGTTTATCATGCTACCCGTGCTGGACCTAACCGAACTGATGAATATAAATATAAATAAATATTTAACAACATCACATACATTGCTCAGATTCCAAGATGAGTAGCTAAAGCCCCCGTATTATGAAGTATCTGAGACACCGAAGGTACCACAACACCCAGACCCGAGTCAATATAGAAAAGTTCATTTTATACATTGACCCAGCCGGGAATTGAACCCGGGACCTCAGAGATGGCGACACCTTGGAACCGGCGTGCGAACCACTCGGCTACGGAGGTCAATCTTTTAAGGGTTCGAATCCCATCTCAAGGTGCCCAGGGACCAAGTGGATTTTTAAGCATTTTTCTCTAAAAACATTTTTTTTATTTCGTTAATCAACCATAAATTAGATTCAATATTCAATAGACCTTACCATCTGCAATAATTTAGATGCATTTTTTTCTTACAGGCAGCCTCGGAAAAGTTTATAAATTGCAGTATGGCCGAATTTGATGAAAATTCGCTGATGGAATTATCTGGAACTTCGCATGAAAATTATCTTCGGCTTATTCCAGACCTCGCCAAATTGTGAGTAGACTTAGATAACCGAGATTGTGCAAAAGTTCAAAATGTTCAGAGTATGTATTACTAGAGCATGTAATTAATAAATAGTTTCAATTAAACGATCATTGTGAACCTATTAATGTCACCATTGCTGGGAAATGGGCCATTGATATATGGAATCGAATAGGGTGGATTGGAGCCGGGACCAACGGCTTAACGTGCTTTTCGAAGCATGAAGAAACTCAAGACAATACATTTTTGGTCAAAGCTAAAGCTAAAGTTGCGTAACTTTTGCATCACAAACCACTGCACCATCGAGCGACTAAATATATGAATCAAAATAAAATATTATCTCTGCTTTATATTTACGTATATGGACGAACATTATTTTATTCCGCAAAAATTATACCTAAAAAACCTACTGAATTTAATAATATTAATAATGAAATTATAGGATGTGTAGTAAGAAGGCTGCTCTGCAGAAATGCTTTTTCGATCTAGTGGATGCTTCTTTGCCTTGCGTCGAGGCTGACTTAAGAGACAGGGTAAATGATTCTAAGAAAGCATTAGCAGAGTTAGGTGACTACATCTGTAACAATGATGCACAATTAGTTACACGTAAGTACACGTATGAATAATATCAGTTAGTATGTATCACAAGCAAACCTAATAAACCTATTATGTTCCGTTGAAGTACCACTATTACGTTGAAATCAGTAACGATGTGTGGTATGAAAATTAAATTGCTACATTACTAGTCTAATAAAAAGTATTTTTGGTGCTTAAATTACGTAATAATAGAATGAGAAAGTAAATTAATGAAAAAGGCATGCTTCACAAACCTGGAAGAATTATAAGTATTCATTGTTTACGTGAATGTAATAAAATCAAAGACTCCAGTACCTATGGCGTCACATAGGCTGACGTACCATTGGATTATACTTAAGCTGGCAATTTTAAATGACCTTAGCTAGTGAAAATAATAATAAAAAAACTGTAATCATCATTTGTCAGAGTTACAATTAGACATATTCAAGACTGTAACAAAACATTTGATTTATTCCAATTTATTGATTTATGTATTTTTAATATAAGGGGTTAAAGTATGAAATTGCCGTTTTATTGTAATAGGTTCCTTGAATTGACATATAATCTTCATGGTTTGAAGATTTTTTTCTTTAAAAAAATGTGAAACATTTGTTTCGACTTTCAATTGTTTTTGTTATTCAACTAGCAAGAAAGATGGATACTGCGGAATTCGAGTGATTTTTGAATACGAGTTCCGACGCAGAAGTAACGCGGCAGAAACAACCCGCAATATCAAGGTTGCGTTTGGAGAGGGGTTTGCTAATGAATATACCGTGCGATTTTGGTTTAAACGCTTTCGTGATAGAAACTTCGACTTGAAGAACGAGTCACGAGGAAGACCGCCCACACAGGTGCATAGCGGTGAATTAAGAGAGATGGTGGAAGCCGATCCTAGTCAAACTGCCTAGGAATTAGCGCCATGGTTTAACGTTACCTCACCCATAATATTGACTCATTTGCGTCAAATCAATAAAGTAAAAAATACGAAAAAGGGTGCCTCATGATTTGTTGTTGAAACTTGTGTTGCCTTGTTGAATCGGTACAGAAATGAAGGAATATTGGATCGAATTGCGACATGTGATAAAAAATTAAAAGAGTGGACTTTATGATAACCGTAAAAAAATGCAAAGGCTGAACCCAGGTCAAATGCTACATCAGTGTCCTAAAGCCAAACTTACCAATAAAAAGGTAATGGTAACTGTTTGGTGGTCTCAGTATGGTATTATTCACTATAGTTTTCTCCGATCTAGTCAAGCAATAACGGCAGATATCTATTGTGCCGAACTCCGAACAATGTTAGCAAAGCTAGCAGTAAAACAGCCCTGACTCATGAATCGATCTTCACCATTATTACTCCATGACAACCTTCAGTTCGTATTCTCCGTATTCGCCAGACCTTGCTCCAACCGACTACTACATGACAAGAAGTTTTCTTCCCAGGAGGCAGTACAAAATGCAATCTCAGAGTTTTATAGCAAAGTTATAAATGATCTTCATATTATATGGTAACAATGTATAGATAATAATGGTAACTATTTTGATTAAATTAATTTATTAAAAATTAAAAGAAAATATATTTTCAGCACAAATCGGCAATTTCATACTTTAACCTTTAATCGTAAGGAGTTGTAACAGTATAAAAGCTACTAAGAACATTGTTGTATTTCAGAACTTATGGACAAAAATGCAATAGCGTGCACGGATAGCAAATACATCGATATCAATCAATGTATGGATAGCTTGGAGTCATTAGATCTGGAAAAAGTCTCAGTGCCAGTGAGTATATTACAATTTTTTAGTTTAAACTAACCTATTATACCGCCATTTGTTGTGGCGTTAACAAAAATGTTCTTGATATGAGCCTACCTCCTATCTATACACTACCGACGTGTGTTGTGGCGCTCTCTCTACTGTGTTTTCTACGCAAGGGATCTGGCGTGCTGCGCAGCGTTGCCAACTCTACATGTCAAAAAGTCGTTAGCGTGCGTTTGAGAAGTCGCTAGATGTCGCTAGCTATGGACAAAGATTAAAAGTCGCTAGAAGTCGCTAAAAGACTGAGCGCGTGCGGATAAAACAGCGCAATACAGTTAGTCACGTACTTCTAATTCTGTATCGTTTTACGCACGGCAGAAGAGGGCACAGTTTTTTGGTCCTTTGGTATAAAAGAAAATAATTTATTTTACTTATAATAATATTTGTAATCGGTATAAAAACAATTGAAAATTACGAAAAAACAATTACTTGACAAAAAAAATCAACAACTCAATACTATAATGAAATATAACAAAAAAAAATATTCATCAGAATTTAAAAGTCAAAAACTTAATACCAAAAAAGATAAAAAAGTTTATTTATTCATTATCAGAACTATCGCTAATAATCAGATAATCTGGAATACTTAATGTATCCGTTCTGGAATTAGAACTAATCCCCGAAGTTGATGGCTGAAGCTGCGATGTACGTTTGGCAAACGAATTCCCCGTTGTACGTACAGCATTGGGGGATCTCGGCTTAAGTATAATTATTTACGGCAGCGTTCCGAAATTGTTTAAATATTACTTACTCTGATAAGAGTCTGTAATATTTGAAATACTGATTTATATAAACTCTAGAAGTCGTTAAAATAGTCGCTAGCTTTTTTTTGTCGCTAGACACATAATTTAAGCCGCTGTTTAAAACGAAATGTCGCTAGATCTAGCGACAAAGTCGCTAAATTGGCAACACTGGTGCTGCGCGCTGCGTGCGCCCGCGTCGCATAGGGATGTGCCCGTTTCGCATGAACAATTAGTTTACTGCCACATTATCTACATTTTCGTATTTAGAACATTATTTAGAGCTTAAAATCGTCATAACACCTTAATGGACTCTTTGCAACTCAAGAGAAGTTGATAATTTTTTTTACATTAAACCGAAGGTTCATAATTAAATGGTCTTTTCAAAAGTATGGCATATTCATGACAGCCTGTATTTTTCTGTAGATCTTTCTGATCATGTTAAAAAATTAAAATAGGATGTCAACTCAGCACTGGGCTCATGACGACGTATGACGGTATGGAATTTTAATTACAAGACAAAAAGTTATTTTTGTTTCTTCTAAAGACTTATTTGATTACCCTTGCAGAAACTTTGCCAAGTCCTCAACAGTTCCAAAGATTGTATGCTAAATACGATGAGGACCTGCCCTGACAAGGTGCATGCCGACTTTCTGCAGAAAGTTTACGACACACTGATCGTCGGGTCACGTTGTGAAAATAGCACCAACAGCATCGTCGATATCACCGTTAATGTAAGTATCACATTAGTATTTATATCATTGTGTAAATATAATATAACTAATCATCCAATCAAAATTTAAAGCCCAACGATCATGGAGATTTTAACTGAAGATAAATTTTCAACACTTCTAGTGCTATTCTGTTATAAAACAGCCTAACATAACTATATAACTCATCGTCGAATGCACTGCTGTTGCTACATGGAGGTTTAATCAAATACAACCTACTTCAAAACGTAATAAGGGTTTTATTTCACTGAAGCTTTATGACGTAAGAGCGCTGCAATTGACGAACAGTTCAAGTTAATATAACAGCATAGCAGTTCTCGTACAAACTGTGTAGGTATAATCGGTTTTCTTGCCTTTTTATTTTGAAGAAATAAAGATTGTAACGGTATCTAAATTTTTTATAAAGCTTCAAAATTAAAAATATATATGGATATAGGTAATCTAATGTTACAAATAATATTATTATAAACAGAATATTGCCAGCTGTAAGTTTCTCGACAGAGTTTGCAATTTAATCGAATTTAGGCGCTAGCTCAGTATCTAATATAATAGTTTTTTTTAACAATAGTTGCAAGTCTCTATAAGTAATTGCATGTTTTTTTTTGTTAGGAGCAAACCAACTTTACCTGTCAAGCTATCAATTTTGCTCAGTTTCCTAGTGAAATCTGAACTATACAGATACCGAACTCTCCTTCCATCCACTAGTTGATATGCTGCCTTACACATGTTCTTACACACTAACTATATTATAATGTGTGTAGCACATTGTTTTTTTTTTGGTATATTGAAAAATGTTATAATTATAGACAATTAACTATGAATTTTTATAATTTGCCAATAAATCCTTTAATTCTTAGGGTTAAGAGCTCAATTATTTTTTTGTTTTTTCTGAATTTTATTTGAGTGGCCAGATTTGTAATTACAACTCATATGTTACTTTACTACCTAACTATAATTTTTATTTTGTTACAGTATATATAAATCCAAAATAGCGAGGGACGGTGGCTCTACTATGTTGCAATGATATATTATTTGTTGCACCGAATACAATTGATAATTAAGAGTTTGACTATGTATTACAAGAATAAAATTATTGAAAGAATAATTGGTTTTACATTTATTTACAAACAATTAATTTAAAATGTTATTTTATATTCATTGATTTGTATGGATTGTTATTATATTTAGCATAAAATAATTCTTATGATGAAGCCTTTCGATCGGTATGATAAAGATATAGGGTAATTTTTTCTCACGTAGTGGGTTCGATTCCCGTTTCAACCATGTCACTATTTAAAAATCTTTTAATGCATATTAAATTGTTTTCTTAAATAAAATAACGTCTTGTTTCAGTAAAATGTTCCATCTACAATATTTAAGGTACTTTCTCTTCATGTGGCATAGTCATGGGACGCCCTGTATACATAACTTTAGTTCGAGATACTTGTTTATGGACCACGTCTCCTTTATAGCTGAGTTCAGAATGCCTGCTTATAGATTCTGTATTGAAGTACCGCCTCATTCTCGTATTTCTCGGCGATTTCGTCATAATGAATCAATACTGAATATGGAATCACGTCGACTATGTTACATCTGGCATCGCTCTTTATACGATATAAATAATAAAATAACTAATAATATTTTGTTATGAATTCTGATTAGACACAATATTATATTTTTTATTTGGTATCACTTTGCACAACTGCAATTTTAAAAGTAATAATATAATTTATTTCTTTTAACAAAAACTTGTTCAATAGGTTTTTTATATACTAAGATTAGGACTATACACTCACTCAAGTGTGCAAAGCTGGTGCCAGCTATAGGTTTCCAAAAGAAATTGGATACACGGGTCACCATGGCATCGCCAGCATAAGTAAACAATGCCTAATAAAAAGATTATTAAAAAAGGAAATACAAAAAAGTTTAAATATAGTGTGTATTTGTGCATGCGTGTGTGTGCGTATTGCATGTGAGTGCGTGTGAGTGTGCGCTTGTGTGAGCGTACGTATGTGTTTGTGAATAAACATTTATGTTTATAACAGGGTAATTCATTAGTGAGTAGCTGATTAGCAATATGATAATTATATTTTTATTATTAAAGGGGTATAAGAAGAGCTTCAGTGGATTGACAAGCTAATTCTCGAAGGTAAATTGTAACAGTTTCTTTACAAAGAGCTCTAGGAAGTGGATAAATATTTAAAAGCGAATTTAATTTGTTATAAAGGTATCTATCTAAGAAACCTAAAAATGTATGCGAGGTGGTTGTTCTGTGAAATGTTTTGAAACAAACAGCACTTTTCCAACGTTTATCCTTGAATAACTGTGGATCGTAATTCAATTCGATGTGTTTCCTTAGAATAGTATGCAAGTCATAGGTTTGTTTGACTGTAAGTACTTTCCACTCTCTATACTGTCCACTGCAGAAAATCGAAAGGGAAAACCAACAGTCACTTTAAGAATTGGTTGCACTCTCTCTACTTTTAAATGATCTGACTTTGCAACACCACCCCAGACCGAGATACAATATTTCAGAAGTGATTGACACAGTGCGGAGTACACCATTTTGATTGTCTTACGATCAGCTACGTGTTTAGGGGTTTTAAATATATAAATAAGTTTTCGTAGTCTAGGTACAAGATAACTGATTTGAGGCCTAAATGTAAGTATTTGGTCCAGAATTACTCCTAAGTACTTTAGGCTACTGGTTCTTTCGAAGGTAGTACAAGCGCAGGAGGCATGATAACGGACACATTTGTGAACAGTGATTTGAAAAGTATCTAAAGGAAGTTGGGAGGTCCTTAGTGCGAATGCCATATATTTGGTTTTAGAGGCATTAAGAGTTAGAGCATTACGGATCAGCCACCAGTCCACTCTATCAAGACCTTCCTGGGCATTATGAAAAGCTTTTTCCTAATTAGCTCCATCAAAGAGAAGAGCAGTGTCATCGGCGAAAGCATAGATTTCACCTCTTTGAAGTTCCATGTTAGTCAAGTCATTGCTTTAAGTAAGGAACAGCGTTGGGCCAACTATACTGCCCTGGGGCACACCGCAAGGGACAAGAACCTCATCACTGTGAGGTAATATTCAAAGAGTTTCAAAGAAAGACCTCGCACTCCAAGGCGCTCCAATTTCATAAGAAGATGTGGTATGGAGACAGTGTCAAATGCCTTAGCGAGATCAAGGAACACATCATTTTTTTTTCGTCACAGCAACACATCGTTTTTTTACGTTTAGCGCCTTTACTTCAAAGTTTACGAGACCAAGAACCGCATCACAAGTAGACTTGCCGCCACGGAAACAATACTGCAACGATGAAAGTAGATAATTTGTCTCCAAGAACCCGATCAACCTGTAATTCATCGCCCGCTCCAGGATTCCAACTGCAATTGTAAAAGTAAATAAGTCACATGAAGTTTTTTGCATTTATTCTACTTGAGCTACAAGAATTCTTTGTTAAATAATATGAAAATTTAAGTAGGCATTATAAGTATACAAAGAATAGAAGTTACTAATCATTTACCTTGCTAAAGAAAAAATAGGTTTATGAACATTAATGCTATCATCAGTACACATAAATGAAATTGGAGTGTCTGTTTGTAATAATAAAATAACAGTTTTTTACTTAATGCATATATCGCCACCCCCTATCATTAATGTATCTACAAATATGCAACTTTACAGGAGAGCGGTTTAAAGTTGAAAAGTAGAATAAAAACGACATTTTATGGGTTAGGGAACGAAATTCAGCATGGGTGTTTTTTTATTCTACGATACATTAAACAAATTTTGGTATCCAGCGCCTTGTGCTGATGAATGAGCTGATTGTGATATATAATAATCCGGAACGGGTACCGCGCTCCATTTCGAATCTGCTTGTAAATACATCCACTTATATCAAATTTATTGATAGCACAATTGGGCAAATCTAGGTTTAGTAAGGTCTGATTGTTGTTGTTGTCTTAGTTTTTATTTTGATTTTTGTTTTCAAGGAATACGACTGGTATAATAAATTCACTTAACTTTTTGGTTTTTATTTAATATTTTAGTTATTATTCTAATAGTAGGGGAGACGAAGCGGGGATTTCGGGATTTACTAAAGCGCGGCAGATTACAGTTAAGTACCTGGACCAAGAATGAGCCCTAAAAAAATGGCCGCCCGGCAAGGACGAAGGATCAGATTAGTAAAAAAAATTGATCATCTGAAAATCTCGAGCGCGTCAGATTAAGGTAAGGTGAGCTAGTTATATGCTAAAAGGTGTACATACCTCTAATCTGATAATTTGAGAGTGACGTAAAGAAGGGGGAAGGCTACAAAGTCGTAAAAAAAAGTCACTGACATTCTCGAGCGTGACTAATTTTTTATTTTTATTTTGAAGGAAATCATTCAAGGATTACGAAAAATATATAATCTGACGATTTTCACAAGCCGAAGTAATAAAAATTCATCGATAAGATTAAATGCGTGCAGCTACGTGATACCTATATTTCCTTCCCTGCATCACTATTTCTCTCTCACTCTTTTTCAATCTATTGCTCTCACACTCCGTCCCCACTCTGGTTTCGGTTGCCATGACGCCATGACAGCTGATGACACAGACTCGTTCGTGGCGTGATATTGTTTACATCGTATTTCCAACGTTTTTGCTTATTTTGTTATTTTAATGTAAATTTCGTGAATTAAACTTTTTACATATTTACTAAGAGAAGATGATTTTAGCGATGAAGATGATAATTAATTAAAAATACTGTATAAATTTAATTTTCATATAATCATTTTCTTATAGATATAAGTATTCTACCTAAAAAAACATACACTTTTTTATTTACATGCTAACTCCGGTGCTTTTCTATCTAATTAAGCTCAATGATTTGAAAAAAAATAAAAAAAACTTTAATTGTC